TCCTGTCCAGGACAAAAAAAAAAAAAGATAACTTAAAGCTGACCTAAAGTCCAATATTAAAGCTTTGTTAACCACAGTCTCATTTAAAGGGATAGTAAAGGGAGAGCAGAAATCCTGCTCAGTGCTGCTCACATAACTAAAACCTAGGCATTTAGTCACATGACCTCTACTGAAGTGAGGAAGAGCTGTTCTGAACCCTTATGCTCTTCTCAGCAGAGATCAGGGTTATCACATTAAGACTGTGTACAGCTTTATTAGTGGAGAATGGGTCTTCTTTAAGGGACACATTGGTAAGAGCGTATGGACTGTTCTCAGTTTTGCTGACCCAGAAATGTAGCCTGGGTGTTGAAATAAATAATGGTTACACAGTCTCCTATAAGGAGTGTACAGAAATACAGAAAGTCATTACTGCAGAAGTTTTTTTTTTTTTTTCCTTTTTGATTCTCAGAGGTCGTTTGGGCATATTGCTTTAAATAATAGAAAGCGTATCATGGGCTCAAATTTAGCCAAACAGCAAAGAAGGTTTAAAACAAGGAGGCCGTTTAATAATGTGACTGCCATGTGCTGGGAAAGGGGGGACAAGGCAGAAGATTTACACGCAGTCTATTGTGCTGCCATTATGCCTGAAGTCTAATTGCAGCTTTTGTATTTGATATACCCATTCCCTGAGCAAGCCTGAAAATTCAAAACAATCCTAAAGGTCAACAAGCAGTAGGTGATTTGCTTGGAAATGATTGAAGCTGTGAATTGTCCTATTCTTCAGATTCCTACATCTAGGTGTTGTAATTAAAAAGTAAGGTACTGATGGCCCTTTTTTATTACAATCCTGTAAGAGACTAGGGACTGAAATATATTGGTGTATAATGTAACATGCAAACCAAGAAAGCAGAAAAAGGACTGCATGATTAATTAGGCTGTTGAAACAAGAAACTTTAAAAAAATAAAAAAAACAATGAACAGGTCAACAACTGGAACGCATTTTGTCAGTGTCTTGTTTTGCAATACTGGGCAACATTATTGGAGCCTGCCAATAATAGTTTATGTTGTATTTGCGCTTTCACAATGCTGCCATCACCCTGAAAGGAGGATGGATCATGAAAAGCCAAGGCGGATGACCCAGCAGCACAAGGGGCAGTGACACAATTCCAGATCTGTAAGGTGCAGACCAATGTGTTGCTACCTGTTGTGGCAGTGAATGGTTAATGAAAACTCTACAACTGTATCAGGTGATCACTGCTGAATAAGTAATAGCACATTCTCAACCTGAAATGATGGCGGTAAAATGGTTTGTCCCAACTACTGAAATGTCAGTGGTCCTCTGTCATATAAATATTTATCACAGTGGCAATGTAAAGAGTGATGAGGCCAAAGATTCTTATTTCTTTCCTTTTTAACAAGGATGTTCTGACTTTGGGAGATCATTTGTGTAAGGAAATCCACTACTGATAGGTTTATGAGCACATGAGACTACAGGAGATGCATGAACTATATCACCTCCTGTCTTTTATTACCAGCAAAGGCCTCTTCTCAGTTCCGTATGTCAGTTTATAAGCAACCTAGTAAATAAGGCAGAGAAGAAACAGAGGAGAATTTCCTGGTCTGAAGCATGCATCATTATTTGCATTAATGGTTAATAAAAGTACGCATTGCTGATTGTATAAAGCAATGATTCCTCTGGTCACTGTGATTTTTCTGTCTTTGTCAAAGTGTAACGGCTTTACTTAAAAACAACACTTTTCCAGACTATTTCAGATTTGGTCCCCATTTCTCCTGGATGTTGGCAATGCACTGTTCTCTTCAGTTCAGAAGTACCAAGCCCACTGGACCTATTATTTCCACTCAAGGCTTTTTTTCCAATGAGTAAGTGGACACAGTAGGGAGAGTGAGATGTGACAACAAAAACATTTAAGAGAACATCAGCATTCTTCTGGAGACCAGCAGAGATCTTCAGCCTGTTTCTGGGCACAAGGGTGGCAGGTAGTGCAAGGCAGGGGAGTTCAGAGAGCCCAATATGTATTTACTGTGCACACAGAAGTTCTGTTGGAAACTCAGCCAACACTTCTGATATGGCAGAGTCACTTTCTCCCTGGCTCTGTGGCAACAGGTGGTCTCGAGACCATGCCCCTGCTTTAATGGTACAGCTCATTGGCTTTGTTATGCTCTAGCTGTTCCCGAAGTTGCCTGAAGGTTGGTCGCTGGTTGGCGTCCAGATGCCAACACTTCTTCATCAGGTCATACACAATAGGAGGACAACCATCTGGGGCATCCATCTTATATCCTTTCTCCACCTTGGGTACAACATCTCTCAGGGCCTGAAAAAAATAAAGTAAAGTATCTGTTGCCCAAACTGCTTAGAAAAAAAGGCACCGTGTACACTTAAATTTCTAGTGTAGGTAAAAACATTTTTTTTATCTTTTCCCCATACCAAACAAAATCTTTACCAACATGCAATTGTTTAGAAAGACCCCTAAAGACCATTTGAACCACTAGCGGTTGTTTAACACTTATGGACCAGACCAATCTTGACAGAAAAGATAAATAAAATTATAGTTTTTCTACGGGTGCCCAATAATGGATTTAAAGCAACGATTTTGCGGCGCTAAACTCCCTAATGTGCTTTGATCTATATATTAACAAATTTCCTTAATTTACTATTAATGTGCCACAAAAAACCTTATATTGTGATCTAAATTTCCCTTGGACGGGATTGAAAAATATATCAAAATGAAGGATAAACACAGTGAAAAATTATTACTGTGAAAAATTATCTCAGTGATTATTACAATGAGCCAATATTGACAGTGAGAAATTCATAGATGGACAATAATGAAAACAGAACGTGCCGCAACCAAACCAAAAAAAGATAGTGATTATGCGACCCCGGTCTGGATGGACAAGACTCCAGATATAACAAACGTGATATGTTTGTGATTATATATAGTCAAACTCCAAAAATTCATATAGTGATAAGTGCAATAATTGTCAATTCACAAAAAAGTCCTCCGAGTACTTATATAAGTGCTTGTGCTTTTAAAATGATCCTCCTGGTGTCACACACAGAGCCCCCCAGGGCAGTGCACACTAACCGCAAACAGATCTTTCTTACACTTTATAGACAAACTGAGGCAGGTATTGGGCAAAATCGCTGTTTATATTATTAGGACTTTACTGTCTGTATTGTGGCAGCTTCTTTTCCCATATTATTAATATATTATCTATAAGCGCAGATCAACAGATTTCAATGGTTTTAAAGCAACTGGTATTACTGTTAAGTACAAATTTAATTCAGAGACTTGCCACCTTTATTGCAGCACTAAAATATGTTACTAATAAAATGTTTTTATTTTTTTGTGTTAACTACTTTGAAATAAGCATAACGAATGTAAACAAATAAAACGTGACCTGTACAGCTCTGATTGGCTCATTGCTGCACACAGACCTAGACTTTAGCCGTCACGTTAAAAGTATCCAGAGAAGCACATATATTTATTCTGTATATATTTATAACCTATAAATATGTGGGGCATCCTGTATGTCCTACAGTGTTAATTTCATTTACAACATTTTTTTCTTCTTCGTTTTTTTGGCCATTTTTCAGTGACAAAAACTAAATGAAAGAGTTGTTAATGGTATGAAAACGATTTTTGTCCGGTACTCAATTTTCATCAACGAGATCAAACGAAACAAAATCAATAATGAGAATCGTTGTCAACGATTCTCATCATCAATTATTGCTGCCACCTCTCTGCTTGTCCGTTCTTCTCCCTGCTGGTGCTGGCTGCAGAAGTCTGTGTCCCTTTCAACCCCCGCCTGTATCGGCTGAGGCAGCGGGGACACAGAGCACTGCAGCTGGCACCAGCAGGGAGAAGAG